AGGATGATGTGGCTACACTTGGCATGGATAGACCACAGGCATCAGTAGGTGGTGGTATTGGTGGTGATGGTAGTGCCACGGCCATGCATGACTCACCAGCCCAGGCTGGGACCCAAGCTGCTAACTCCTCATGTCAAGGACAAAGCGGAGTATCATCCACCACCACATCACAACTACAACCACAACTAGCTTATGATGTCCAGTATCCGCCAGCAAACTGTATCTGGGATTGGCAGCAAAATCCCAATTTTGTTCCCACTCCCCATCAGTTTGATGACTCTCAAAGTGGAATCCTACCAGCTTGTTCCCTTGGAAACACTGCAAATGAACTGGAATTCTTTGAACTATTCTTTGACCAGCCCTTGATGGAAATTATTGTCAGGGAAAGTAACAAGTATTTTGAGTACACCATGGCAAATATGATCATATCACCACAGTCAAGACTAAACCGGTGGAAAGAGACAACTATGGCTGAAATGTATTTGCTTTTTGCAACAATAATGCTTATGCCTCATGTCTATAAGCATAATATAAAATTATACTGGTCCACAGATTGGCTAATTCGTACCCTGGCCTTCAGTGAAATCATCCTAGTGAACAGGTTTATCTTACTGTTATGTATGTTGCACTTCTCTGACAAAACCAGGCCTGACAGAAGTGACAGGTTATACAAGATTAGAAATGTTTTTATGTATCTCAAACAAAAGTTCGACATGTACTTTTATCCATTCAATAATCTTGTAATTGACGAGTCTTTGATTTTGTTCAAAAGTATACTGTCATTCAAGCAGTATATACCGAGCAAGAGGAAACGCTTTGGTATAAACTGTTTGTACCCTGTGACTGTGACAGTGGCCTGGTACTGGATATTATTGTATACACGGGACGTAAAACATTGAAAGACACCAGGATGTTACTGGGTATCTCAGGTGACATAGTGAGAAACATGATGGCACATTATCTTGGTAAGGGGCATACATTATATACTGATAACTGGTACACAAGCCCTTTACTTAATGATTTCTTGCAAGTGAACAAGACAGATGTGCTTGGCACAGTGCGTTCTAATCGTAAACATATGCCCAGGTTCAACGTAGGCACTCGTAGTGGTGAGGTGCAGGTGTTTACTGCCAATGACATCATGGCATTACGGTGGCATGACAAACGAGATGTCACATTGTTGACAACCATTCACCCCAACAAAATGCAAGACAGTGGCAAAGTTGATAGAGTAACTAATGAACGTATTAAAAAACCAGTGACAGTGATTGACTATACACAAAACATGCGTTTGGTTGACAAATGTGACATGCAAATAGGCTTTGTTGATTGTGTTCATAAGAGTTACAAGTGGTACATGAAACTTTTCTTCCATCTCATGGACATTTCAATGCTCAATGCATATAATATGTACCAAATAAAGACCGGCAACAGACCACCATATGGCGAATTTTGTTTGTCTGTTGTCAGACAACTCATAATGAAGTACCAGGTAACAATACCTGCTATACAAAACCGTCCTCGAACTCCTCAGGAAATACCCAAGTGTTTGAGGAGGGAAGGTGATCACTTCAAAATACAGCTTCCTGCAACTAAGAAGAAATTTGCTAAGAAGAGATGTGTTGTTTGTGCACAAACAAAACGACGGCAACAAAGACACAAAGACACTCGCTTTATGTGTGAGGAATGTAAGGTACCTCTGTGCATGATACCTTGTTTTAAGGACTTCCACAAGCTGCAGCAGTTCTAAAAACATGTCCAGTGACTGTACATATCTTTCTTCTTTCAACACACCGGCCATATCCCACCGAGGCGGGGTGGCCCAAAAGGAAAAACGAAAGTTTCTCCTTTTACATTTAGTAATATATACAGGAGAAGAGGTTACTAGCCCCTTGCTCCCGGCATTTTAGTCGCCTCCTACAACACGCATAGCTTACGGAGGAAGAATTCTGTTCCATTTACCCATGGAGGTAAGAGAAAACAAACAAGAACAAGAACTAGTAAGAAAATAGAAGAAAACCCAGAGGGGTGTGTATATATATGTTGTACATGTATGTGTAGTGTGACCTAAGTGTAAGTAGAAGTAGCAAGATGTACCTGAAACCTTGCATGTTTATGAGACAGAAAAATGGACACCAGCAATCCTACCATCATGTAAAACAATTACAGGCTTTCATTTTACACTCACTTGGCAGGACAGTAGTACCTCCCTGGGCAGTTGCTGTCTACCAACCTACTACCTAGATGTATATATATTCTTTCTTTCAACACACCAGCCACATCCCACCAAGGCAGGGTGGACCAAAAAGAAAAACAGAAGTTTCTCTTTTAAATTTAGTAATTTATACGGGAGAAGGGGGTTACTAGCCCCTTGCTCCCGGCATTTTAGTCGCCTCTTACAACACGCATGGCTTACGGAGGAAGAGTTCTGTTCCACTTCCCCATGGAGATAAGAGGAAATAAACAAGAACAAGAACTAGACAGAAAATAGAAGAATACCCAGAGGGGTGTGTATATATATGCTTGTATATGTATATGTAGTGTGACCTAAGTGCAAGTAGAAGTAGCAAGACATACCTGAAATCTTGCATGCTTATGAGACAGACAAAAGACACCAGCAATCCTACCATCATGCAAAACAATTATAGGTTTTCACTGTACACTCACTTGGCAGGATGGTAGTACCTCACTGGGCGGTTGCTGTTTACCAACCTACTACCTAGATTGTATATATATATATATATATATATATATATATATATATATATATATATACATTATATACAGTATTGGTCTCACAGGCCACAAATGTTACTAGAAAAAGAAAAAATTAGAAAAGAAAAAAGTATAAAAAACGTAAAATAAAGAAATGCGATTTTGTGGAAATCGCTGATGTTGCCGCCAGTCGGTCATTTTGGGTCAACTTCTTGCCTCTGCATCTCGGTAAGTACTGATCAGATTTTTTGTTGTTGTTTTATTACCTTCACAAAAATATAATCTTTAATTCTGTAAGAAATTTTTTTTTTCTTTTTTTTTTCAAAATTTCTTGGACACTGGGGAACCCCTTCCAATTTTGCCTTTGGACCCTGAAAGGGTTAAGAGCTGTTGTAGAATACTAACCTCTGGGGTAAATAATCTGAGCAAACTTTCTTCTCCTACTGAACTTCTGTGAATTTTTTATATTAATGCACTAAATATTCTCTTCAATTTTTTTATACAAGCGCTTTATATAAATTAGACATTTATAAGTTATGCAAATTTCAGAAAACATCGGTTATATATGAAAAATGCTTTAGGAGGCTAGAAACTGGGGTAAGCACTGCTTGTAGTCTGGTGTATGAATTATAAAAATATGAAGAGTACTCCCCAAAAATTATTGTATGCATTATGCAAGTCTGGATGCACTTTTTCAATCACTTTTAACCATTTCAGGGTCCATGCCATAGATCTACAGCTTTATGTTGAGGGTCCAAACCGTAGATCTACGCCAAAATTCTAGCGGCGTCAAATTTAGCGCAAGAAGGCTGGTAGGAGTACATCTGAGAGAGTGGGTCTGGGTGGTCAGAGCGTGCACTATAGAAAAAATCTGGAAGCCTGCATGGCATTGTGGGAACGCCGCCAAAGTAGCTTTGTTCATCATGCCTGGCGGCAAGGAAGCTCTCACTCCCCACTCACTCTCCTGGCGAATTCTGACTCTCCTCTTCACAACTTACAGTTCTAAGACTGATAGAAGTGGATCTGAAGTGGAATTCTATGGTTTTGAACCATATGGTACCATTGTACCATATTGTACAATGGTACTATATAGTACAATGGTGCCATGTCATACAATGGTACCATATGGTATATTGTACCATATGGTATAGTGTACCATATGGTATATTGTACCATATGGTATATTGTACCATATGGTATATTGTACCATATGGTACATTGTACCATATGGTACATTGTACCATATGGTACATTGTACCATACCATTGCACCATATGGTACCATAAGGTATCATTGCACCATATGGTACCATAAGGTATCATTGCACCATATGGTACCATTGTATCATATGGTACTACTGTACCAAATGGTGCCATTGTACCATATTCTACCATATGGTACCATTGTATCATATGGTGCCATTGTACAATATGGTACCATTGTACCATATAGTACTATATGGTACAGTTGTATTCAACACAATAATTGCACTAATATTTTCATCATTTTGTTTACAATAAACTTGTAAACAAGTTTTGTAAGCAATATAATGATAAACAAATTAGTGCAGTTATTGTGCTGAATACAATGAGTGTACACTTATACAATATACATTATATTTGTCTCTCAGACCACAAATGTTACTAGAAAAAGAGAAAATTAGAAAAGAAAAGAAAAAAGTATAAAAAAACATGAAATAAAAAAATGCAATTTTGCGGAAGTCGCTGATGTTGCCGCCACCCGGTCATTTTGGGTCAACTTCCTGCCACTGTATCTCGGTAAGTATTGATCAGAATTTTTTTTTTGTTTTATTGCCTTCACAAAAATATTATCTTTAATTCTGTAAGAAAAAATAATTTTTTTTTTTTTTCAAAATTTCTTGGACACTGGGGCACCCCTTCAGATTTTGGCTTTGGACCCTGAAAGGGTTAAATAAAATTAAGCTATGCAGTGTCACTTATAACATGGCTTACTGTATATAGTATAATTTTTAAAGGTCTGTTTAAAGGTAAATTTTTTACAATATGTTCTTCTGACCAATCAAGAAAGAGCTCCTATCAAAAAAAAAGTCCTTGCTAATCAAGAGCCCTTGTCAATCAAGACAAAGCCCTTGTCAATCAAGACAGAGCCACTGTCAATCAATCAAAAACACTTACACGAAATATACAGTACATACCTATTATGATTTGACCATAATAATCATACTGTGATAATAAGTACAGTACAGCATTAATAAATATACAAATAAATGTATCCCAATATAATTGGGCTGAAATAAGACTTACTCAGAAATGTGAAGAAAAATGTCTTCTGAGCCATCATCTGGAATAATGAAGCCATGTCCTTTAGTGCGGCAAAAGTATTTTACTTTGCCTTTCACCTCAGGGTTGCTGCTGGCTATTTCTGTCCTGTGGATATCAATACTCTCAGTACACATTCTGGCTGCTTCAACATAATGATCAAGTAATAAATCACAATAACTTTCTGTACAATTAAATAGTGTTCGAACTAAATAGAAATGCCAAAAAATTTGCTAGTAATTTTTTTTTTTGCCAATAGAGGTGATAATAATAATATAAAAAACATAGTAATAGCAAGTAAATTATATTAACATCACCCTGTCTCAGTGGTAAACGGCTGACGTATTAAAAAAAAAATTAACATCACAGATTTTTTAACAAACCTATTTTTAAATAACATACAGGAGTAATCACCAAGGTCCCCAGCTTATTACAGATTGCCATTTCAATGTTTCACACTGTTTAGTGCTATACAGGTGGTCCCCCTTTACAGCATTTCGCTAATGCAGCAGTTTTCAGTTATATACCCATTCTTCACTTATTCAGACTTCCCACAATAAATATATTCACCACTCATTATAAGCTAAGGATGAAAATATTTTAAGGTAAGTAATGCATGTAATGTGCAGTGGACCCTCGGGTAATGGCGGCATCGGCTAACGCCAAAATCGGTTAGCGGCGCATTTTTGCGTCAAAATATTGGCTCGGCTAACGCCCAAGAACCCTGTTAAGGGCATTCGTGTCCCGAACGTGTCTGCACGGCCTGAACCACCCGTCCTTTCCAGTACAGCTAGTGTGCCATTGTTTACAAGCCAGTGCGGACGATTCCACACGTACATGCGATACATTTTGTATTATTCCATTGTTTCTAGTGCTTGTAACTGCTAAATAAGCCAACATGGGCCAAAAGAAAGCTTCTAGTGTCAGCCCTGTGGTAAAAAGATTCAGAAATACTATCGAACTGAAGAAAGAGATAATCGCAAATTACGAAAGTGGAGTGTGTGTCTCCGAGTTGCATTTGTTTCACTTTACAGCAATTTTTGCTTTAAAGCAATAGCCCAGAGCCTAACCTCTTGTATAAGTGGGGCCTTTCTGTACTCTACTGCTTTGTGTACTACTCACTGTTTCCTGTTGAAGAGCAGGTACCCAAATATAAGCATACAAATTATTTTTCCTGTGCACTGTGACTATTTTAATGCTTCATACACTTTATAGAAGCATAATGAAAAAATTGAAGTGAAGAAACCTAAGGAAAAATCCATAATCTATTACAGTACCAGGGTTCTGCCAATCAAAAATACATACATACATCACCTGAAACTGGTATAGTACACTGTACCTGGTGCTGCTGTAACCCAACATACCACCTCCGCTTGATGTTACAATTACACCATATTATTATGTCACAATTAGCAGTAATGGCTATCAGAAGCAAGGTATTTGTTTCAAATATTTTGAGTAAAAGATGTTTTACTGTACAATAAAATGCATCTGGAAGGACCCCTGAAATTAATATTGTTGTCAGTGTCTACATTAAAAAAAAAAAAAAAAAAAAAAAAATCTGAAATGGCAGAGAATCTTTTTCTGAGAGTAAACACACCAAAAGTATGAAATTTGATTGAAAGCTTATGGAATTACACAGGTGCAAAGTTAGCGGTCTGGGTGCAATTTACACACTGGCAATTTCACCCAATTCAAGTACTATTAAGTCAATTCCATTGCTCCACTCAACCAAATTCTTTGCAATTTCATTAGCATGCCTTCCATTCTATCGATTGTGTACATGACACTCCTCATGCAACTATTACAACTACTTTATAAAATGCAGAGAAAGTCAGTAATTTGGCCAATTTTACACAAAATTAAACAAAAAAATACCAATTTAAAAATAGTCCAAAATAAATAATGTAGATATTCAAGACACAAACATTTCCTCTGTTCATTAATATGTCCCTAGGCCTCTCCTATATTTCACTTGCCTCCATTTCGAATTCATAATCACAAAAAAAAAAAAGTACTCTATTGCTGAGATAATAAAATATAACCAGGAATGATTGGTCATGGCTTACGGTGCCCCAATAATTAAATTAGGCCTATAAAAAACCCATAAAACAGACCAGGGAGTGTAGGGGGGCCTTACCTGTCCCAGGAAAGTTGGCAAAAATTTAATATTTCCACTACTTTGAGTCCAATTTCAAACTACTTCCTGTCCTTAAACCAACCAAAATCATTGCTATTTCAGTAGTATGCTTTCCATTCTATCAAATGATACTCAGAAACAGCCAATAAAACCATAGAAACCATCTGAGAAAACAAAGACCATCAGATTTTTGCTTTTTCCCATCATGTACTGTGTGGAGCAGGATTTTTTTTTATACTCTGCGTACGCGCGCACACACACACACACACACACACACACAAAGGTGTATGCGTGTGAGGGAGGGAGGGAGGTTGGGAGGGAGGGAGGTTGGGAGGGAGGGAGGTTGGGAGGGAGGGAGCTGGGAGGAGGGGGAGGGAGGCTGGGAGGGAGGGAGGCTGGGAGGGAGGGAGGCTGGGAGGGAGGGAGGCTGGGAAGGGAGGGAGGACTGGGAGGGAGGGAGGTTGGTTGGGAGGGAGGTTGGTTGGGAGGGGGGGTTAGGTTGGGAGGGAGGTTGGTTGGGAGGGAGGTTGGTTGGGAGGGAGGTAGGTTGGTAGGTAGGTTGGTAGGTAGGTTGGTAGGTAGGTAGGTTGGTTGGTTAAGGGAAATTGGCCTGACGACACTGGAGGACAGGAGGGATAGGGGAGACATGATAACACCATACAAAATACTGCGAGGAATAGATAAGGTGGACAGAAACGGCATGTTCCAGAGATGGGACACAGAAACAAGGGGTCACAACTCGAAGTTGAAGACCCAGACGAGTCAAAGGAATGTTAGGAAGTTTTTCTTCAGTCAGAGTTGTCAGGAAGTGGAATAATCTGGCAAGTGATGTAGTGGAGGCAGGAACCATATATAGTGTTAAGATGAGGTATGATAAAGCTCATGGAGCAGGGAGAGAGAGGACCTAGTAACGGTCAGTGAAGAAGTGGGGCCAGGAGCTGAGTCTCGACCCCTGCAACCACAAATAGGCGAGTACGTACGCACAGACATGCACGCACACACGCACGCACACACACTGCACAAATCCATTCTTTCACATCTAGCCAAAAATTTACCACTCACATCTGATCTGAGTCAGTTTGACTTTTTAGGGTCATCCTAGGTAATTTAAACTATGTATGATAATTGTGCTTATGTGTACAGGAGGGCCCTGCTTTACGGCATTTCGCTTTACGGCGTTCCGCTAATACAGACATTTCAAATTATGACCAAAACTCGCTATACGGCTCCCCCCACCTGTCTTTCTAATACGGTCACAGCGGCCCACCGAGTTTGTTTACATTCTCCCTGAGCACATCTCCTTATTATGTCTGGAAACTTTCCAAAATTTCAAGTGTTTTAAAGTTATTTTATATTTTATATGTATTGTACTTGATAATTAAACTTGTGTACACCTGTACCTAAATAAACTTACACACTGTGCTGGCATGTAGGTACACATTAAAATCACTAAGAGTCTCTCTACTCTTGATGCAATAATATAATAATAATAATAATAATAATAATAATAATAATAATAATAATAATATAATAATAATAATCTCTTGGGCGCATTAATGTCGCATATACGTTAATATAGACATTTCCCTTAATCTATCTATGATATTTTTTTCAAAATTATATAAGAAACACATTATGTAACACACAAACATGATACATGCACCCACAGTATAAAAATTTATACAAATATATACGAGATGTTTACCAAATGGTTTGTAGAAGTGTCGAAGAATTACGTTTTCTCTAGCCCGTCACCTGTTACTAGGGATAACTGTAGAAAAATATTCCTTTCGTATGCCTTCACTTTATAGCTATAATTCTGTACTAACTTGTACACAGTGTAAGAGTATTTGTTTCGTGATTATTATAATAATAATAAAAATATTATAAGGTAAAAGTTTCACAAACTCTTACAAATGTACATGAATGAACTAAAACTGGACACGTATTAATACCGTCTATTTCGCCTGACCAAGTGATCGTCCACAACCTGTTCAGTTTGTTTACGCTGTCTGAGCTCGGTGTATCATTAAATGTTGTATATTACGTTAATATACACATTTTCATTAATCCATCCGTGATATTTTTTTTCAAAATTATATAATAAACACAATACATAACATAAATACATAACAACATATGTGTAGAGAACCTAGGATAACCCAAAAAAGTCAGAGTGACTTACTTCCATTGCCTTCACTCAGAGCATCATTTCTCTCAAAATGATGTTACATGAGAATGGGAGTGTTCTTCTTTATTTATTCTACCGTATCAATGTAGAGACAACCTGTACACAATGTAACTTGTACACAAACCAGACGTGTACATTTTTTAAAAAAACTTCCCTTTGCCTGGTTTGTTTACATAACTCTGCGCCTGCCCTTTTCTCATGCACTCTTTTCTTTCTTTTTGGGTTTAGGGTTTGCCTGGCGGGGAATACCATAAAACCACACTTTTTTTTTTACAAAAAATTTCTTTTAATCTCCCCCCCTAAAAAAAATTTTTAAGGTAAGTAATGGTGAACTGTATGAAATTTTATCGCTCTGGGATGTTAAATATCATAGAATAGTAGGTGTGGGGGGGGGTTTGGCCGGGTTGGGTTTCCCTGGCGGGAAAACCCAACTACCACACTTGATTTTTTTACAATAAATACTACTTGTCTACCCTAGTTTAAAGGGGACTATTTTTTTTTTAAAGGAAAGTAATAGTAAATGTGGGGGTATTTTTACTTTTTTATTTTTTTTTTGATGGGGGTTCTATTGCTAACATATATATGTTAGTGTAAACTTTTTACCCTAGGGGTTTTGTATGAAATTTGTAAGTTTTGGAAAAAAAAAAGGGTGTTCCACTTTAGGGCGGTTTCGCTTTACGGCGGTGCCTGGAACCTAACCCGCCGTATAATTGGGGCCCCCCTGTTACCTGTGTTTATTTTAAATTTTTTTATTATTTTTTATAGTTTAAATTAAAGGGAATTATCCCAGAAATAAAAAAAAACTGGTGCAATTAGGACATTAAAAACGTTTAAAAGTTGGTCGCACGACCCCACTACCTTTTAAGTAGCTTCCCCTTTTTAGCAACAAATTTTTTACCCCCATGGTCTTAGGAGGGGAAACTCTGTCTTTTAAGTGGGGTTGAAGCTGCATTGTTTTTGAAAAGGCTTTTAATTTTTTTCTTTTTTTTTATGGAAATGTTGCCTGTGAAAGATTTTATACATATTTCAGTTCGTTGTTAGGGTTTTAACCCCCCCCCCATGAACTGGAGGGGACTAACTTTTTAAGCATCCCCTCGTTTTAAATTTACTTAAAACAAACAAAATTTATTTCTTTGCAAGTTTACAGGGAGTTTAAAATTTCCCAGAAATGGTGCAGTGCAAAGGACCCAACTTTCATGCCTGGGCTTTTTTGGGCGACTTAATTTGGGTTTAAAGGGGATTTAAAATACTAAAAAAAATTTATCATATTTTAAAGTTGTACATTTTTTTTTTTTTTTGTGGGACGTAATTTTACTCTTTAACTTTCAATATTTTTATTAAAAACTATTGTTTTTTAGAGTAAAAAATTAGGGGTTATCATAAAAAAAAAAGATTTTAAATTTTTAAAACAAATATGACCCAATTTTTTTTGTATTAAGTAGTCTGAAAGGGCCTTTTAAATTTTAAGTCTGCCCATAATCCCTAGGCATGTTAGTGGTCTCTTTCCCACTGCAATCATTATTGAAATTTTTCAAATTTAAAACATAATTTGCAAAGAAAAAAATTTTGTTTTTTTAAAGTTTTAAAGACTGAGGGGGGTTCCCCCTTTGTGCTTTTAAAGTATCCAGTTCAGGGGGCCTGAACCAAATAGGGGTTTAAACCCAAAAACGGGACGGGAAGGATGTACGTATTTTCACAGCAAAAATACCAAATTGAAAAATAACATGTCTTGCAAAGACAATACCCCTCAACCTCATTTTAATGATAGATTTCCCGCCCCTAAGACCCCTTTGGGGAAAGCAAATTTTTTGAAAGGATTAGCAAATATAATGGCAGTGGGTTTGTGTAAACCATTTTAAATTTATTGTTTTAATGTCCCCCTTTGAAAATTTTTGAGGAAATAACTCTAGTATAAATTATTTAGGTTTCCCCAAAATGCCTCGGCATGATAGTGGCTATCTTTGTACTTAGCAAATCAAAATTGCAATTACACATTGTTACCTTTACAAAGAAATAAACTTTATTATTATTAATTATTATTATTATTATTATTATTATTATTATTATTATTATTATGCATACTGATCAGAGAGCCTGTCGTAAGTCCGAGGCGCCAGTAAATGAGTATGTTGCTAAGTGAGAAGCTGTATTAAATGAACCAGTGAAAGGAAAAGCAGCCAATAACTAGAAAATACACACAGAACTGTCATTACATAAGTGGTTATAAAAAAGGTACTAGAAACAACTGTTATGAACAGCTTTATAAAATTCATTGGAAAAGTAATGTACTGTATAAAGTACAGTGTACAAGAACAGACAATCACAATGAGCTAACTACTTATAATTCTTTGACACCTTTATACAATATTGTGATGTAAATTTCACGATTTAATTGTGTACAAAAGATTTTTCACATACAGTATAGACATAGAAGGTCAGCAGACAGTAACTACTCAGGAATGTACTACCAAATTGAACATTAAAATGGTATAAAATACCGACAGGTTGTTAGGTAAGACACATATGCAACAGTTAGGTTGCATATGTGTCTTACCTAACAACAAGGTACTACCAAACTTATAAGTGTGAAATGGAAGCTTTTCAGATATTTTGCATTACTCTTTATTAGAAAGCAGGTTGAGATAATGTACTATGGTAGATAATTTACTTGCACAGTACAGTACTGCAATGATACCATTTTATTTCCTTGTACAGAAGATATGCAAAAACCATATACACCTACCATCCGACTTACAACTGAGCTTGGTTCCAACTAACTGTTCATAAGTCAAAATGGACGCACGTCGAACCTTACTGCTGAATATCAGCATCACATTAATTAATAAATTTTATTTGATTGTTTTATTTTGGTATCTCATTTTTTACTTTACTTTTTATGCTGTTAGTACTGTATTTTATACTGTAAGGTTTAGGAGAAACATTGTGTAAAATACAAACAGTTGTTTATTTCCCAGAACATTTGCATACAAAACATGGTCGTAAGTCAAGTGGTCGTATGTCGGGCAGGTCATAAGTCGGATGGTAGGTGTATTTTTTATACAAAGATATAGGAAAACAGAAACATTGTTTAAATGAGATATTATGAAGACAAGTTCCCGTTCTTACGTAGACTTGGTTCGGTTACGTCTCGTGATGATAGGTGAGGGAATCTGAAGAAGGAACCCTTTGTTGGGACTGTCTGGTGTAAGACTGCACGGTGATGACATTATGTATCCTAGGGGGAAAATAATAATGAATCTCACTATAATCGCATGAAGACTTACGACAATAAGAAAACAGTCACATTGTACAAAGCATTAATTCTGTGGAAAACTTTTCTGTTCATATTTGTTAAGATACATTACATAAATTTTACAATTAAAAAATCTCCATTATTTATACTTTTTAACCCTTAAACTGTCCAAACGTAGATCTATGTTTGCAAGCGTAGCACTCCGACCTTGAATTTCTCCAAAAGAATGTATAAAAAACATAGATTTACGTTCGGAGCGCTTCGCGAGTGAACGTAGATCTATGTTTGGACAGTTTAATGGTTAATTACAGCTACAAAAATTTTTTACTAAATAATAATTACTTTTGTATTTCTAATATAGTATGTACTGTACTAACTGTATAATGTAATACTGCACTATAAGCAGCCTATTTGAAACAGTGAACTTTTTTATATATGTACATTACAATACAAACATTGTATTAGCTGATATTACAAAATTTGTGTTTATGATACGTATTACAACACAGTAGTATAGTAGTTGTTTTTTAATGTATTAGCACTTTTATAACTTGTAAGATAAAATATGGTAATTACAGAATAAATAAAAGGTAATGTCCAGCAGCCTGGCCCTAGTAATACAAATGTTCTCCCACACAACTTCCAACACTGTAATAGCTTAAATATAAATCAGGTGACTTTTTTCATTTGTACATAGACACTAATTGTAACTTTCAACAGATATAAATACATGTACTCAATTTAATGGACTAATAGGGGAAATGGGTGGCAGGCAATGGCAGTTATGATGGATGGAGATTGTTTGGCCATGATTGAAACAATAATGGACTTTGTTTCTGAATCAATTGACCTGATAGATTTCTCCCGATTTCAAAGTTCATTAAATTAAGGTTCATTATACCTAGGGTTTGCTGTATAATAATTTATAAATGACTTGAAAAAATAGGACCATGGCCACAAGCCTGGTCACAGACCAGGCCATGGTGGCACTGACCCCCAAAACCCCCTCCAGGTATACTCTAGGTTATACTTTCAGTTTTTAAATGTCATTCTTAAGTATAATGTTGCATTAGATTGGATATTATATTTAGGAACATGTGTAACTTCTCACAAATAAATTATTAAGCTAATCTGTACCATAAAGATGGTACAAATCAATTGCCTTAATGCAGTTACACCTAAACTACATTAAAATAATTAGTTAATAGTTATGTTGTAGTTTAAGTGTACAAAACATACACCTCTAAAGTGCAAATTGGAAATGAATAAGTATTGGACACAATATAAGAAACAGGTATCTCAGTGACATTCCACATGTACATCTCAACCTGTTCAAAAACTCCATACAAATAAAAGTCCAAAAATTTGGAACTCTCTGCTTGAAAATGTTAAAGTTCCCCATCTGCCAATATCTTTACTAATATTGTTAATAAGCACCTGTCAAATCTCAAATAAAAGTAATTTCCATTAACTGTAAATTGTCATGCTGTGACTGCACCAATTAATTCAATCACTTCATAAAATGCACCTCATTGAGTCAATGTAAATACTAAGTAATTCTCTTGTAACTGACCATTTATTATTTGCAACCCCTCTCATTGTACTCGTGACTGTAGTGAACTACCCAAGTTGTCTTAAATAATATACTAGATTTAGATCTAAGTAGTATGTAGTAGTAAGTCTTATGATTAGTTTGCCCCAAATGCACTGCATAATTTGTGGTTTTCCTTTGTGCCTACTTTTGTATCAAATTATGTATTTCTCCTGCAATTTATGTATGGCTCATGAGAAATAAAATTTTTTTAAATTAAGCAATAGAGAAATATATAACTGCTACCTGCACTTCTGAACTAAATAACAGAGTGCAAAAAAAAAAAAAAAATGAAAAACTGGTTAACAGAAATCCAAAACCAAAGCATCATTGCCTAAGCTTGTACAATAAAGCTAGTATGTGTCATGTACCTCAATCGCTACACACTGAGGTCCGGGGATTAAATCCTTAATATGGCTGGAAAACATTAGGATGTATTTCTATAAGACACCTGCTGTCCCTGTTCGCCCATCAGTAAAATGGGTACCTGGGTGTGAGTCAACTAGTGGGTCGCATCCTGGGACAAAATTGACCGAGTCTGCCTGAAATGTTCTGCATAACAAGTGGCTTTCTATACAGTCATATGTCATTGATATCAGCTAGGCCTGTATATCTTGTACATGTACTTGTAGAAATTGATATCATTATGTTTACCTGGAGAGGGTTTCGGGGGTCAACGCCCCTGCGGCCCGGTCTGAGACCAGGCCTATATATATATTTGTTTTTTAACAAAGCAGCCATATCCCACCAAGGCAGGGTGACCTAAAAAGAATAAATAATAATAATAATAATAATAATAATAATTTTTATTTGGACATGATACATAGTTGTACAAGGAATTTTAGTAGTTGGGTGCACATGCCAAAAGCCCCTTGTATGCAGAGCATTATGGGCAGGCTTACAAAAGTTTCTCTTATTTAAACTGAGTAATGAATACAGGAGAAGGGGTTACTAGCCCCTTGCTCCCAGCATTTTAGTCGCCTCTTACAACACGCACGGCTTACGGAGGAAAAATTCTATTCCACTTCCCCTTGGAGAATTGTTATTATTATTATGGCTTATTATTAATAAGTATTCATAACAGAAATCCCAAGGTTATAATACAACTCCATACATCACTGGTTTGGCCTGATTTAGATTAACAAAATTTTAGTTAATATTGTAGAATACATGTACTGATAACAATCTATTTACAAAAACAAAGCTGTGTGCATAGAATATGGAAAAATATCCAATTAGTTAATAGTAGCATTCTACCAGTGATATATATACCAGAAATATACCGATACAACACAACTTTGTCTTATCTGCAGCATACAAGATATACTTTACATGTAATAAAATATTAGCCACAAAAGAAAGCCACTAGCATGTGTTGCATTTCGGGTAGACTAATCTTAATATTACAGTCCACTTAAGAACTAGATAAGTATTGGTTATTGAATAGGAGTTTTTCAAATGCTTCATACAAGCACTGGCATAACTCCTGCTAAATTGTAATGTAAGCTGCTAGACACTAAGTGATTATGCAATTGGATAAATATTAATTAGTAAATATTTAGTATGTGTTAAAAGGATCATTGTTTAGAAATACAAAAGACTGCACTACCAAAAAAACTGCCAAACGAGACAAATTGTTACTAAACTAACAAGTTTTAAATATGGGATAATACACTACAGGGAGTTAGACCAAATATAGACACATTACAGCCTCTATGTAATCAGTTAGGTCATATACTGTACTGGTTATTTTGTACTTATTTCAAGTGGTTTTTCTTCTGGTAACTCCCAGGACGCAACAATCCCAGCAATACTGCTGCATCTCCAGCCTCCCTGCTGGCAGATAACACACCATCACAATCCCACATAACTAATTAATAAAGAAGTATAAATAAGCAAGTCACAATTCACTTGCAACCAAAAAAAAATCACGAGTACTGTCCTTCATGATAGCCTTGACCAGCTGCACGTATATACTGTATCCTGCCTCCATAATCTTAATATATGCTTAAATGACTGTCTAATGAATATATAAGTAATGAAATAAGTATTATTGAGATGCGAGAGTAGCACGTCAACAACGTCGACTGCTGCTGCAACATAAATGTCGATATATTTGCTTGTACCCACGACACATGTGGTTCTTAACTCATGTTCTACCTCTTATATGTGTTAACCATCACGTGACTATATATTTATCACAAATCCTAATGTTCTAACCTTATTAAGGAAAGATACGAGGAGCGAGAAGTGTAGCGGAGCGCTGCAGTGGTGTGTCTGTCCTGCTGGTGAACTGGAACTGTGACTGTGGCTCGGCCAGGGTCTGGGGCAGGGCCAGGGCCTGGGGCAGGGCCAGGGCCTGGGGCAGAGCCTGGGGCAGGGGCAGGGCCAGGGCCTGGGGCAGGGGCAGAGCCTGGGGCAGGGCCAGGGTCTGGGGCAGGGCCAGGGCCTGGGGCAGGGGCAGAGCCTGGGGCAGGGCCAGGGTCTGGGGCAGGGCCAGGGCCTGGGGCAGGGCCAGATTCTGGGGCAGGGCCAGATCCTGGGGCAGGGCCTGGGGCAGGGCCAGATCCTGGGGCAGGGCCAGGGCCTGGGGCAGGGCCAGGGCCTGGGGCAGGGCCAGGGTCTGGGGCAGTGCCTGGGGCAGGGTCTGGGGCAGGGCCAGGGTCTGGGGCAGGGCCAGGGCCTGGGGCAGGGCCAGGGCCTGGGGCAGGGCCAGGGTCTGGGGCAGGGGCAGGGTCTGGGGCAGGGTCTGGGGCAGGGGCAGAGCCTGGGGCAGGGGCAGAGCCTGGGGCAGGGCCAGATCCTGGGGCAGGGCCAGATCCTGGGGCAGGGCCAGATCCTGGGGCAGGGCCAGGGCCTGAGGCAGGGCCAGATCCTGGGGCAGGGCCTGGGCAAACACCAGGGACTACCCCTGCTCAAATTATCAGAATTTGACCGGTGTAGGAAAATACACGATGCAGCTAACACGCTTCCGCTCCCAGATGATAACATCTGAGAATTTTATTATCTAATAGGCTGTTATTTTCTTACTGGGCTCATGTGTAGTACGTATTTCCCATTATGTAGAAAAGTGAATTTAAGAACTGTAATACGCAATACTTGTACACAACGCGTGCATAAATAAGTACGTACAAAGAGACTGGACCCGAGTAACCTTAAATTACACAAACACACACTCATGTGACTAGTGAGGTTCCACAAGAATCATTACTAGGACCGGTACTATTTCTCGTGTACGTGAATGACATGACAAAAGGGATAGAGTCAGAGGCTGTAGGTCTTGTTTAACAAGTGGCTACTAGAATTTAACTCCAGCAGGCGCAAAGTCGTGAAGATTGAAGATAAATGAAGTACAGGTTCGGGGTACAAAAGCTGCAAGCCTTGTTCAAGGCTTGCAGCCTTGAGGTGCACATCAACTGAACTGCTACAACATACTTCTACGATTATTAGCCTTCCATAACCTAAGCAAAAAAGCCCTTTAAATCGCTTTAAAAACAGAAATAAATAGGGCCTTTTTGCAATATGCAGCACTGAAAATGGAATAAACCCCTTTGGTCAAAAAAAGGGGTTTGCAACGAAAAAAGGGTTCTCAAAGAAAAGGGATATGCCCCAATGAGGAGAGATAAGGGGGAGTTAAATTGAAAACATTAAAAGGACAAACCAAACTAGAGGGATATAACGTTCAACAGGGCTGAGGGTAATTAAGGGGGGGACAAAAAACAAATTAGCGAGGGGCCCAGGAAAGCAAACACGAGGCAAAAGCTAGAAATAGAAAGTGTGGAAAATTGAAATTTGCTGAATGTATCATTAGGGTACATAACAGAAAAGAACAGAAAATTTTATTTTTTATCAGTTAGAAAAAGTAGGAATTTGGGACCCCTTTGGGTTTCCAAAAAAAATGCCCCCCCCCAGTCCCACAATCCACCATCCAAAAACCTTCTTTTTTTGCAAATATACGGGGTTTCAAAAAGCCAGCAAAAAAACAACAAAATCCCTTTCATCCGGGACTGTTTTGGCAGAGGCAAAGGCAAATTTTTGCGGCTTTCACCGGGAGACACAAAAAAGGATCATTAGACAAACGAAATAGGGAAACCCGGGTTTAAAACCTATACAGATTGAAAGTGAACGGGAAAAAAAGGGGGGGGGGGATGGCCTGTACTTTGGGAGGTAAATTGGGTTTTGCACAAAAACTGTTTAAAATGCCTCAAATGATGAAAGTGGAATTTTTTAAGCAGTAAAGGTCGAAACCCAAAAAAACCTATCATTGTGGTAGTCTACAACCTTCCGGATGCAACCCCCCACCCCAAATTCCCGGGAAAACACTGTTAAAAATTGCCCAACTGTCTGGAAAATCTTCCAGCCCCTGCACCCAAAACATCTTGCTTCGGGGGATTTCAAATTTAAGGACCTAAAATGGGGAAAAATACCCAAATAAAAATTTTTTGAAAGGGGATAACACCAGGGGGCGCTCTAAATAAAAACTCATACTCACACAGTTTTTTAAATCTCTGCAAAAAATTTTAAATTTTAAAAAACCACAAATAATAGACCCTACTAAATGGGAAACACAAGACCTCTCTTCCCTAACAATGATGATTTTGATAAAAAATGCCCCAAATATAAAAAAACAATATACTCAGACCCAAAAACATAATTGGGGTTCGGGACATGTATGCGCAGAGCCCCAAGACCGCATAATGAGAAATAGTCACGAGGGGGCATTCACCCCAAAACAACTTCAATAACAAAAACATAAAGTGGGGGGCCAATAAATCAAGTCCTAACCGATAAAACTGGGAAGATATACTTTAAACAAAAAAGACCCCCAAATTGCCCAGAAAAAGATTAACTTGGTGGGACTCGATGTATGCACAAGGCTTATTCCTCTAAGAAAAAAGGAGGGGTAGAAAGTTAAAAAAAGAAAGAAAACAGGCCCCCTCCCCTTTTGGGGAAAGGAAAAAAATAACAGAGCGGCCCAAAAAGGGGCAATTTTAAACTGAAATGCTAGGGAGACCTAGTAGAGAAATAGCAAGCATCGAACTTAAGCTAAAGGAATCTTTTAGGAGTCAGGGAAAAACGGGAAGAAATAAAAAAACCCTTTAAAAGAAATTGAAAAAAAAAAAAAAACCCAAATATTTTTGTCTCCTATGCCAAATTTTAAAGTCGAGAACAACGTTTCCCGTATTGGGCCCCTACTTAAACAAGATGGGTCCTACACAATGACAGCAAAAGGGAAAAGGGGTGAGCTCTAAAGTCCCAATATGACTCATTTTTAGCAAAGCCCCTAACCCCCGATGAGAGTCGAAAATCAAAATGAATTTTTTAGAAGAGCCCCCAAAATTTTTTGGTTTAAAAACAAGCCTATCCGATGTTATCCGACGAAAAATGACTTCGAAAAAGGGAAAAAAACATGCCCATGCACTCTGCCCCCGGGGCCCCGACCATGGAAAATTTTGGGGTTCATCAAGAAATGCAAAAAGGGCCCCCATCACAAGCCTTTTCCCTCCCATGGAGAGGGAGCATTGGGGAAAAGGGGGGGCCCTCCCACAGTTTCTAAAAACAAAAGAATAGCCCCACTCCAAAAAAAGGGGGCAAAATAAAGCAACAGCAAAGAAAATACAGACCGAAGCACTAAAAATCCCATAATAAAAAATCTTTGAAAGGGGCCCAAGAAGCCAAAATCCCCCCCCATCTAGGGAAAACCCCTCCCTTACAAAAAACCCAGGGGCAACATGGGTTTAGAACAGGTCGCTCCTGTCTGTCTCAACTATTGGATCACTACGACAAGGTCCTAAATGCACTAGAAGACAAAAGAATGCAGATGTAATATATACAGACTTTGCAAAAGCCTTCGACAAGTGGGGCCCCATGGCGTAATAGCGCACAAAATGCGTGCTAAAGGGAAATAACAGGAAAAGTCGGTCGAGGGATCTATAATTTCCTCACTAACAGAACACAGAGAGTAGTCGTCAACAGAGTAAAGTCCGAGGCAGCTACGGTGAAAAGCTCTGTTCCCACAAGGCACAGTACTCGCTCCCATCTGTTCCTCATCCTCATATCCAAACATAGAAAGGATGTCAGCCACAGCACCGTGTCTTCCTTTGCAGATGACACCCGAATCTGCATGATAGTGTCTTCCATTGCAGACACTGCAAGGCTCCAGGCGGACATCAACCAAATCTTTCAGTGGGTTTGCAGAAAACAATATGAAGTTCAACGATGAGAAATTTAAATTTACTCAGATATGGTAAACACGAGGAAATTAAATCTTCATCAGAGTACAAAACAAATTTTGGCCACAAAATAGAGCGAAACCCCAAACGTCAAGACCTGGGAGTGATCATGTCGGAGGATCTCACCTTCAAGGACCATAACATTGTATCAATCGCATGCTAGAAAAATGACAGGATGGATAATGAGAACCTTCAGAACTAGGGAGGCTAAGCCCATGATGACACTCTTCAGGTCACTTGTTCTATCTAGGCTGGAATATTGCTGCACACTAACAGCACCTTTCAAGGCAGGTGAAATTGCCCGACCTAGAAAATGTACAGAGAACCTTCACGGCACACATAACGGAGATAAAAAAACCTCAATTACTGGGAGCGCTTGAGGTTCCTAAAACTGTATTCCCTGGAATGCAGGGGGGAGAGATACATGATTATATACACCTGAAATCCTAGAGGGACTAGTACCGAATTTCACACGAAAAAAACACTCACTACGAAAGCAAAAGACTTGGCAGACGATGCAACATCCCCCAATGAAAAGCAGGGATGTCACTAGCACGTTTAAAAGACCATACAATAAGTGTCAGGTGCCCAAGACTGTTCAACTGCCTCCCAGCATACAGAAGGGGGATTACCAACAGACCCCTGGCAGTCTTCAAGCTGGGACTGGACAAGCACCTAAAGTCGGGTTTCCCGACCACCGGGCTGTGGCTTGTACGTTGGTTTGCGTGCAGCCAGCAGTAACAGCCTGGTTGATCAGGCTCTGATCCACCAGGAGGCCTCGTCACGGACCGGGTCGCGGAGGCGTTGACCCCCAGAACTCTCTCCAGTAAACTCCAGGTATATATATTTTATATAAAATATATATATATATTTATATATATATATATATATATATTATATATATAAAATATATATATATATATATATATATATATATAAAATATATATATATGAAAAAAAATGCAAAACGAAGCAATGAGGATCACCTAGGATGCCCTCGTCGCCAAAATTTTAAATATGCGGAAAGAACTTAATATTCCAAGCATTAGAGATCGTGTTACTGAAAG